CTCCACCGACGTACTCCTTCCTCCTATATATACCTACGTACCCCCAAACGATCAAATACGGAGCCAAAACCCTAATTCCACCGCCGTAACTTTCTGTATCCACGAGATCCCATCTTGGGGCCTGTTCCGGAGCTCCGCCGGAGGGGGCATCGATCACAGAGGGCTTCTACATCAACATCATAGCCTCTCCGATGAAGTGTGAGTATTTTACCTCAGACCTTCGGGTCCATAATTATTAGCTAGATGGCTTCTTCTCTCTCTTTGGATCTCAATACAAAGTTCTCCCCCTCTCTTGTGGAGATCTATTCGATGTAATCTTCTTTTGCGGTGTGTTTGTTGAGACCGATGAATTGTGGGTTTATGATCAAGTTTATCTACGAACAATATTTGAATCTTCTCTGAATTCTTTTATGTATGATTGGTTATCTTTGCAAGTCTCTTCAAATTATCAGTTTGATTTGGCCTACTAGATTGATCTTTCTTGCAATGGGAGAAGTGCTTAGCTTTGGGTTCAATCTTGCGGTGTCCTTTCCCAGTGACAGTAGGGGCAGCAAGGCACGTATTGTATTGTTGGCATCGAGGATAACAAGATCATGTCATCTTGCATGAATTTGTCCCTCTACATCATGTCATCTTGCTTAAGGCGTTACTCTGTTCTTATGAACTTAATACTCTAGATGCATGCTGGATAGCGGTCGATGTGTGGAGTAATAGTAGTAGATGCAGGCAGGAGTCGGTCTACTTGTCTTGGACGTGATTCATATATACATGATCATACCTAGATATTCTCATAACTATGCTCAATTCTGTCAATTGCTCAACAGTAATTTGTTCACCCACCGTAAAATACTTATGCTCTTGAGAGAAGTCAACAGTGAAACCTATGGCCCCCGGGTTTATCTTCTATCATATTAATCTTCCAATACTTAGTTATTTCCTTTGCCATTTATTTTACTTTGCATCTTTTATTTCTCTTTATCATAAAAATACCAAAAATATTATCTTATCATATCCATCAGATCTCACTCTCGTAAGTGACCGTGTAGGGATTGACAACCCCTTATCATGTTGGTTATGAGGATTTATTTATTTTGTGTAGGTGCGAGGGACGCGCGCGTAGCCTCCTACTGGATTGATACCTTGGTTATCAAAACCTGAGGGAAATACTTGACTTTATTTTAAAAATTGAATTTAAATTTGGTTTGGATCAAAGTGAGGTTTAGAAAATTAATTGCGATGACACGACACTATTAGTATGTGGTTAATGTAGCTTAACTACCAGGGTGTTACACCTTTGTACCTCCTAATCTGCAGCTAGCACATAAATAATTCTTAAAGTGAAGAAGGGGAAAAATAGAGTAGATACATCACACAAATACTACCATTATTCAGCATGTCTCCTCTATGATAGAACAATGATAAGTAATTCAGTAATTAGAAGGTCATGTCACGCACAACAGATACAAGCAATGACTAATCCTAAAACTCCGGGCACTCTATGGATCAAATCAAAATTGACCAAAGAAGAGAAGAGGAAGAGCTAGCATACCTGTAGATGTGCTAGTCACGGTGAGGTCACCCGCAAGTAGATGCAACTCTGGCCAAGGACACCGGCTCCCCCGTGCTGCTGAGACATGGGAAACCACCGCTGATGGCTGCCTTCCTTGGGATCTGTCGGCAAGGTCCGAGGTCTATCAATCGCGATTGGAGAGAGGAGAGGAGGCGGCCATTGAAGCCTTGCCGACGTTGACACCCCTCTACCGGGTTGGCTGCAGCAGGGTACCAAAGGAGGAAGTTGAGGTGATGTGAAGGCACGGTGGCGCATAGGATATGGCAAGGCGAGGGCACAGGTGGAGGAAGGACATGAGTTGCGGCGCACGAGCATGCTACTCCTCAACTTTGTTGCGCCATCTTCTCTGTTCCCCAACGGATGTGACTCTTCTCCTCGAGAAGAAACCGGCATGCAGGGGGATCCGGTCGAAGAAGAGGAGGAGAGGCAGCGTTGGGCAGAGGAGAAGGAGCAGAAGGGGCACGGCAGCGGCGGTTGTGAGCAGGAGAGGAGGAGATACGAGGCATGGGGTGTGGGGATCGAGGACGGAAGGGGATTGGCAGCTAGGTTTTCACCTGCTTCGACCGCGCACACAACATAAGGGACCCCAAGATTTCTTCTCGTTGTAACTGCAAAACGGGCCGTGAGGAAAGGAGCCCCACATGTCATCTGTTGTAGCATGAAAGAGCAATGTACAGCCGGCCGTGAGGAAAGGAGCCTCACATGTCATCTGTTGTAGCATGAAAGAGTAATGTACAGAGAAACTAACGGCGAGATTTTTGACAGCACTATAAAATCGAGCCAGCGAGGCAGATCATGCGCGCGCTGCAGATGCCCCAGGTGAGCGGGTAGCACAGCGGGATTTATATGTTTGAGATGCAGATAGGTTGAGAGAGAGAGAGAGCACAATCCATGATGAATATTATTGTTCAATTAATTAGAGAGAGAGAGAGAGCAATCCATGATGAATATTATTGTTCAATTAATTAGAGAGAGAGAGAGAGCAATCCATGACGAAGATTATTGTTCAATTAATTATATTTGTAAGATTAATTGCATTTAATATTGTTTCAAGATGTCATCCGGTCTAGAATCAAAAGAGATAACATTTACAAGGAGTACTGTACTCCTTTTACTATTGAAAAACATGCACCCATCATATGAATAGAGCACATGAGATGTTCGGCTTGAATGAATAATAGTATGTATCTACAATACCTAATCAAACGACTAACTTTGGTTGGCTATGTGTCTTGGATAAATACCCAGAGCATATGAAATGGGAATTAATATTTTAACCATTTTTTACCAGGCAGAACCATATTTTGCTCCTATAAAAGTCTATATTACCCCAGAAACTCTTAAAGAAGAAAGTAGAACAAAAACAACCCAAAGGACCATGAAATAAGCCGATGTTGCCCAAGCCCACAGCCTAGGGCCCCCAAGCTCAGCACCAAATACTATGCGGCGGAGAACCAAAACTGTGATACAACCAAAAGATGTTGCGAAGAAGACCAGAAGTGAGAAGCTGAGACCAGCAGCATTGTCTATGTACAGTGGTTCCTGGTAGGCAAAGAAATTGTACACTGTGTTGATCGACCACGGAACACCAATGCCAACGTATATGTTCACTGAATTGCTGCAGCAAAGAAACTAATCAGTCCCACTCCGCTCCAGCCTGAGGAATTAACAACAATAAAAAACTTCATGCCTCGAACTGGTTCAAGAGGATGTGTGTACAAACGAACCTGCAAGTGATGTTGGCAATTGCAGAGTCTGCAGTAACTTGACGCTCGGCAGCAATCTTGCTAGCGACTAGATCCGGCCATGAGGTTCCAGCAGCCAGCGCTGTGAATGCTATAACATATGGGTTTAGTCCTACACAGAAAGGTAGATTTTCCATCAGCATACAGGCAGTTACATCTAGGTGAGCAGATGAAAATCAGACATATGCAAGAGCAGGTTACAACCTGTGACACAGCTTATCTGGTCTGTAATCTTGGTGACCCCATAGGCAATACCACTTATGAAGATCAGAGAGAAAATAAAAGCAATCCATCCATGTGCGATTTGATACGGGGGCACAAGAGCAAACAACAATTTCCAAGGTGCGATGATTGAGTTCCAACATATTAAGATAAATCTCAGGCAGACAGAATCCATTTTCTTTAGCTCGGGACTCTCCAGCTGCATATATTAACAAATCACTTAATATTCTAGAAGTTCTGAGACAGAAAACGTACTTCTTCTGTTTTAAGTCAGCTTTCAGTGTATACTCTGATGACTGAAACAATAAGTACGTTCTAGGTGTGTCAAAGCACACATATTGGAAACTATTAAAATAAAGATAACCCATATTGGTACACCGGAAATAGCAGAGGATGCAGGAGGTGTACGCGCAATCAATTTCAGCATGATAAGTAATTGATAAAGTTCTCTGAACAGTGTAAGTTTTGCCAAGACTTTATGTATGTATAGTTCCACTGGATAGGTACCTAGCAGTAAACTTATCAATTGTAGGCAGCCAAAAGTCTAGAACATGCTTCACATGCTTGTCATGCGCTCATTGGACAGACAAATAAATAGGACAAGTTCAGCTACATTAATATAATAACCAAAATAAGTATTTTGACACGAGATACAAGGTAAATGTAAACAAGGAGCAGCATCAACAAACTTGAAACTATGTGATACAAAATAACTGTAAATTAAATTACCATTACAGCATCCACAAATTGTTGCCGCCAAACGGAAAGCCAGTAAGTATCCTCTTGTGTGTTCTTTACTACAAGCATTGTTTTGGACGACTCTTCTATATCCTTTTCCGGAACATGATGATACCCTGCGGGTGTCCAACCATACAAAGAATTACTTTTGAGTTGTTTAACAAAACATTTTTAGCCATGAACAGCGGAGAAATATTAATGGATGGATTCAAGAAAAGAAGCCAGAGAGGCAAGTATCTCCCTCCCCTCCATCCCATGTCGCCCCTGCGCGGCGGCCGGGAGGAAACCCTAGCCCGCCGCCACCAGGGTCCCCCAGCTCTCCTTCCCCCTCCCCCGCCGCCGCCACAGGGCTCGGCCGGGCAAAGCCCGCCAGGCGGCGGCGGCGGCAGGGCATTTTTTATTCCTCGCAGGAGGGGGCCGGCGCGGGGCTGCTCCTTCCAGCTGGGACGCGGCGCTGGCGACGCAGCGTGGCGGCGCGCTGCTGCGGTGGCGGGCGTAGCTGGGCATCAGGCGGCGCGGTGGCTGGCGGTGGCGGTGGCGGCGGCTGGGCTTCGGCCAGATCCGTCGGGCTTCTTCCGTCGAGGCGCGAGCGAGGGTGGCATGGATCCGTCCTCCCGGATGGTATTGGTGGTGCGCACAGGTCCGGGTGGTGCGGCCGGCTGCTGGGGGCTGGTTCCGATCCGCCGGCCTGGTGATGGCGCGGGGCCGATCTAGTGGTGCGTGCCCGGCGGCTCCGGCGCTTGGAGCTCGCCGGGCGACGCGGGTAGGGTAGCGGTTGGGCGTGGCCGTTGCTCCGGCCGTGGGCGGCGTGGGGAGGTCCGGCGCATGGTGGCCTCCCGGTGTCGTGGCGGCTTCACGGTGACTCGGCGGATCTGCCTCCAGCGGCGGCCGACTTCTCCGGCGTTGGCTCGTCTGTGATCGGACCGTTTCGACCTTCGCCCCATCTCCTCGTCGCCCAGGCGCTACTTCCATCGAAGGGCTGGCCCTCTCCCAGCTGCGGTCCATTGCTCGTCTCGCGCCCGGTGCAGCAGGACCGAGCTCGTCTCGCGCACGGTGCAGCAGGACTGACATCGTCCCCCTCACGGTGCTGCAGGACCGAGCTCGTCTTGCGCTCGGGGCTGCAGGACGGGTCAATGGATGCCAGTGCTGGTCGGCCTATTGGGTCTCGACACTGGGGGTCGCCCAGGGGTGCGAAAGGAGGGACCTTTCCGCCAGTCTCTTTGGTTGTGGTAGCGGCGGGTCTCGAGTGAGGTGGTGTGAAGGTCTTGGATGCCAGGGCGGTGGCAGCGCGGTGCTCTTGGGCAGATCCCGTGGCTTGGTGCTGCCCGATGGCCATGGCCGTGTGGGTGGCGTGGTAGCCGGGGTGTTGCGTTCATAAGTGTTGGCCGGGGTGAAAACCTGTATCTTTGGACGGACCGGCGACGCAAAGCTCATTCCCTTCTTGAAGGCGTCGTCGCGGCTCTCACTGCCCGTCGTGCGGCTCCAGGGGAAACTCTGATCCTCGGATCGGGCGATGGCGGCGCTCCGGTGCCATATCCTTCCTGAAGGCGCTGCCTTGGAGTCCACGGTTCGTCGTATGCGACTTCATCTCTTCGTGGTGGTAGTGCTAGGGGTGGTGTTGCTGTGCTCAGCGCCTATGTATCCTGCCTTGGGTGTGTGTGGTGGCGGCGTGCATTTGTACCAGGTGATGCTGACCTTTGCTTTATATATACAGCGGGGCAGTAGCCTTTTTCGGTATATTAATGGATAGTCAATCTGCATAAACTACAAGTACCATCAAACATCCCCGTGAAGAACAAATGTATTTTGTAGTACAGACAAATTAGTGTAATTGCAAAATGTCACATGAGTGCTAGAGTTGTAATTCACAAATTAACTCCCATGTAGTTTCAAACAGAAATAGGAAATCTGATGGAGACTGGATAAGTTAACTAGTGATAGGCACTTAATCATTTATTGGACTACACATGTGAATGTGTATAAACTCTGGCTCTTCTGGTTACATACAAAGAATATAGGTTCATTAGAGGAAACAGTACCCAACGTTCAGAAACTGTTTACCTGCATTGCTGTAAGAACGAAAGGAGAATACATCCACAACATCATCATTCTCGCTGGGTAGTATGTCACTATTTTCATCACAATTTTTGTCATGGTGAAGTGAAGTATCTTCTGCTGGAACCCAATCTTCAGGTCTCTCACCTCTGACCCTGATTGCAACACATCAAATTGCAAACATCAGAAAAAATAAATGCATAATTAATTTCTCAATGACCAATTGGTGACATGCAATTTAGGTAAGAGAAATATCTTGAGGACTAGAACCATACAAAGGGATTGACACATATGGCCACCGCTTATCCTGCGCATACGCATGAACCAGAAGTAATCCATACTGCAAAACTGTTAGCAGGGCCTCCCAGAGGGTGATCACATTAGGTGTCCACACCTACACATAAGTGCAAAGTGTTCATTATTACCAACTGTACTCAGTAATTACAGTTAGATAGCACTACAAGAGAATATGACTTTACCTCTAAAATAATATACAGCCAGATGTATGCCCAGAATGACCAAAACAGCTCAACTAACCAAACACCTAAATCGGAAATCTTTTTCATAGAGCCTGCCCTTGGCATAACCACACAGACAGCATGGATCGGGAACAGATCAAACGCAGCAGAACCCACAAGTGTACCTGGACCTAAACCTGCAACAGAAGTACTACCAAATTAGATACAATTAAATAAGATTTGTGTAAAAATATTTACGTCAATCAGTTAACTATACCTCCTGCTGTCAGTTGACCGAGATTACGGATTGCATCGATTGTTGCGAGGGAGATCTGGGGAAAGCTGGTACCAAAAGCAAGCAGAGCAATGTCCGCTATAGTGTAGTTCCAAACCTTCTCATGCTTCACGATAGGCGTATTTGTTTCTGTATCAATTGTAACTACCTCCCGAGAGTGGTTTGTGATGCTCTCCATCGACTTGAAGAACCGGGCAGTGATCGCGGATAAACCAATAAAACAGTACGCTAGGGCAACAGTACAAAGGAAAGCACGAACACCATTTGGAAGCAGTGTTTCGCCATTGAACAGCAGGTACGCATCGCATGATCGAGTGGTACTTCCCATTGTAGTGTTGGCCATCAGACGCGTGCCATAAGACAACTATATGATTTAGTTCTGGTTCCTGCTACAACCAATGCATATTTCATCAGGTACTACTACTAACATGAAGCAATATAATGCTCAGCTCAGGAAGCAGAAGATAAGCAATGACGAACATGGTATTGTATTTATAACCGACGCCCACATACATAACGAACTTAAGGACGTAGCTAAGTGGGTCGACAACAAACTTAACAACATCAAGAGTCTTTTGATGGAAAGCCTATGCACACACGAGTGATCTGGCAAGCTACCAAACAGTTCTTGGACCTTCTGAAGCAAAATTAGCACTTCCTAACCACATGGAAACTCAGTTGTTCTTCCAGATAGTATTTACAGGTTGTTTAGGGAAAAGATAGCAACAAGAACAGAAAGGAGCTTCCTTTGGCAGTATCAGGAGTTCAGGACCCATGGCGCAGTCAGAATATACTTGTGCAATAAAGGTGTTTGCTCTCAAGTCCCAACCAGAATATCACTAGTGCTTCAACTCAAAAAAAAAATCACTAGTGCAAACTATGCGAATTAATTAACAGGACTAAATCCCAATACAGTACTAGAAAAAATCAACAGTCTTGAGCCACTCACTTGCTAAAGAGAAAATAACTTCTTTTTCAACCCACTCATGTTTGCCCACGGATTGCTGCAGGCTTGCCGCTCCACCAGGATCTTGGCAAGACGAAACTAACTAATTCATAGGTCAAAGGGGGGAGATGAGATCCTCCCCGACTTCTTGGAAGAGAGAGAGAGAGAGAGAGAGAGAGAGAGAGAGAGAGAGAGAGAGAGAGAGAAGAATGTTCCCCGATAATGGGAAAGCGAAGGTGCTCCGAGGAGAGGGGGAGAAGGACGGGCGTGCGTGGGTTACCGGGGGTGAGGAAGAAGATGTAGCTGGAGAAGCAGCGGCGATGTGGGCTCCCCGAGGCGGTGACGTGTGTGCATGCCACTCCTCTCCGATTGATTCGTCTTCCTCTGTTTCCGAATCTGGGGATTTGTTCCCCAAATTTTTTCTTTTGGTTTTCTTTTAAGTTGATCTTTTGGTTGGTGGTGAGCAAAGCAAAAAAAAAAGGCCTAGCTACGCTAGGTCCTCCTTGGGAGCCTTGCAAGAAGAGCATATAGTACAACCATGATGTGTCGTTGCCCACAAAGTCATGTCTTTTTAATTAAAAATTGTTTGGATAGATGGGTGTGATTGGTGAAATGAAGAGACAAAAAATTATTTGAACACATGTTGTGATTGGTGGAATGAAGACTAAAAAAATTAAAAAAAATAAAGTCCGGGATAGGCCGCACCTACATGGCGCATGGTCCCGATACGCCCGCGCAACCTTATATCCAACTCATATATGGGCTAAGTTAGTTTCTTTTTGTTCTCCCATGCCGTGTCGCTCTCGCGAGTGACCGGGGAACCCTAAACGCCGCGCCTCTGACCCTCCCTCCTCTGCCCTTCCCCCTCGCCGCCGCCCAGGGACACCGTCGGACGAAGCTCGATCAGCGGTGGCGGCGACGTGGCCTCTTCTTTCCCTCCGCTCGTGCTCCGCGGCTGGCGCGAGACGGCCAGTCGAGCAGTGGCGCGGGGATGTGGTGGGGCCCCACAGCGCGGTGGCGTGCTCTTTGTTCGGCGGCGGAGGAACTAGGTGGTGGCTCGCCGGCAAGCAGGGCAGGGTCTGCGGTGCGGCGGCCGCGGGAGGTACCACTTGAAGGAAATATGCCCTAGAGGCAATAATAAAGTTATTATTTATTTTCTTATATCATGATAAATGTTTATTATTCATGCTAGAATTGTATTAACCGGAAACATAATACATGTGTGAATATATAGACAAACAGAGTGTCACTAGTATGCCTCTACTTCACTAGCTCGTTGATCAAAGATGATTATGTTTCCTAACCATAGACATGAGTTGTCATTTGATTAACGGGATCACATCATTAGGAGAATGATGTGATTGACTTGACCCATTCCGTTAGCATAGCACTTGATCGTTTAGTTTGTTGCTATTGCTTTCTTCATGACTTATACATGTTCCTATGACTATGAGATTATGCAACTCCCGTTTACCGGAGGAACACTTTGTGTGCCACCAAACGTCACAACATAACTGGGTGATTATAAAGGTGCTCTACAGGTGTCTCCGAAGGTACTTGTTGGGTTGGCGTATTTCGAGATTAGGATTTGTCACTCCGATTGTCGGAGAGGTATCTCTGGGCCCTCCGGTAATGCATATCACTTAAGCCTTGCAAGCATTGCAACTAATGAGTTAGTTGCAGGATGATGTATTACGGAACGAGTAAAGAGACTTGCCGGTAACAAGATTGAACTAGGTATTGAGATACCGACGATCGAATCTCGGGCAAGTAACATACCGATGACAAAGGGAACAACGTATGTTGTTATGCGGTCTGACCGATAACGATCTTCGTATAATATGTGGGAGCCAATATGAGCATCCAGGTTCCGCTATTGGTTATTGACCGGAGACGTGTCTCGGTCATGTCTACATTGTTCTCGAACCCGTAGGATCCGCACACTTAAGGTTTCGACGATAGTTATATTATGAGTTTATGAGTTTTGATGTACCGAAGGAGTTCGGAGTCCCGGATGAGATCGGTGACATGACGAGGAGTCTCGAAATGGTCGAGACGTAAAGATCGATATATTGGACGACTATATTCGGACATCGGAAAGGTTTCGAGTGATTCGAGTATTTTTCGGAGTACCAGAGAGTTACGGGAATACGTATTGGGCCTTATTGGGCCATACGGGAAAGAAGGAAAAGGGCCTCAAGGGTGGCCGCACCCCTCCCCTTGGTCTGGTCCGAATTGGACTAGGGAAGGGGGGCACCCCCTTCCTTCCTTCTCCTTTTCCCTTCCTCTTTTCCTATTCCATATGGGAGGTGGAATCCTACTAGGACTAGGGAGTCCTAGTAGGACTCCACACTTGGCGCGCCCCCTCCTAGGGGCGGCCTCCTCCTCCCTTGCTCCTTTATATATGGGTGCAGGGGGCACCCCAAAGACACAACAATTGATTATTGATCTCTTAGCCGTGTGCGGTGCCCCCTTCCACCATAATCATCGATAATATTGTAGCGGTGCTTAGGCGAAGCCCTGCGACGGTAGAATATCAAGATCGTCACCACGCCGTCGTGCTGACGGAACTCTTCCCCGACATTCTGCTGGATCGGAGTCTGGGGATCGTCATCGAGCTGAACGTGTGCTAGAACTCGGAGGTGCCGTAGTTTCGGTGCTTGATCGGTCGGGCCGTGAAGACGTACGACTATATCAACCGCGTTGTGCTAACGCTTCCGCTTTCGGTCTACGAGGGTACGTAGACAGCACTCTCCTCTCTCATTGTTATGCATCACCATGATCTTGCGTGTGCGTAGGAAAATTTTAAATTACTACGTTTCCCAACAGTGGCATCCGAGCCTGGTTTTATGCGTTGATGTAATATGCACGAGTAGAACACAAGTGAGTTGTGGGCGATATAAGTCATACTGCTTACCAGCATGTCATACTTTGGTTCGGCGATATTGTTGGATGAAGCGGCCCAGACCGACATTACGCGTACGCTTACGCGAGACTGGTTTTACCGTCGTGCTATGCACACAGGTGACTAGCGGGTGTCAGTTTCTCCAACTTTAGTTGAACCGAGTGTGGCTACGCCTGGTCCTTGCGAAGGTTAAAACAACACCAACTTGACAAACTATCGTTGTGGTTTTGATGCGTAGGTAAGAACGGTTCTTGCTCAGCCCGTAGCAGCCTCGTAAAACTTGCAACAACAAAGTAGAGGACATCTAACTTGTTTTTGCAGGGCATGTTGTGATGTGATATGGTCAAGACGTGATGAGATATAAGTTGTTGTATGAGATGATCATGTTTTTTTGAAGTTATCGGCAACAGGCAAAAGCCTTATGGTTATCTCTCTATTGCATAAGATGCAAGTGCCAAATAATTGGTTTACTTTATCGCTATGCGATAGCAATAGTTGCAAGAGCAATTGTTGGCGAGACAACCATGTGACGACACATTGATATAGATCAAGATGATGGAGATCATGGTGTCATGCCGGTGACGATGGAGATCATGACGATGCTTTGGAGATGGAGATCAAAGGCACAAGATGATGATGGCCATATCATGTCATATATTATGATTGCATGTGATGTTTATCTTTTATACATCTTATTTTGCTTAGTTCGGCGGTAGCTTTATAAGATAATCTCTCACTAAATTATCAAGGTATAAGTGTTCTCCCTGAGTATGCACCGTTGCGAAAGTTCTTTGTGCTGAGACACCACATGATGATCGGGCGTGATAGGCTCTACGTTCAAATACAACGGGTGCAAAACAGTTGCACACGCGGAATACTCAGGTTAAACTTGACAAGCATATAATATAACAGATATGGCCTCGGAACACGGAGACCGAAAGGTCGAGCGTGAATCATATAGTAGATATGATCAACATAGTGATGTTCACCATTGAAACTACTCCATCTCACGTGATGATCGGACATGGTTTAGTTGATATGGATCACGTGATCACTTAGAAGATTAGAGGGATGTCTGTCTAAGTGGGAGTTCTTAAGTAATATGATTAATTGAACTTTAATTTATCATGAACTTAGTCCTGATAGTATTAGCATATCTATGTTGTAGATCAATAGCTCGCGATGTTGCTCCCAGTTTATTGTGTTCCTAGAGAAAAATTATGTTGAAAAATGTTAGTAGCAATGATGCGGATTGGATCCGTGATCTGAGGATTAACCTCATTGCTGCACAGAAGAATTATGTCCTTGATGCACCGCTAGGTGACAGACCTATTGCAGGAGCAGATGCAGACGTTATGAACGTTTGGCTAGCTCAATATGATGACTACTTGATAGTTTAGTGCACCATGCTTAACGGCTTAGAATCGGGACTTCAAAGACGATTTGAACGTCATGGACCATATGAGATGTTCTAGGAGTTGAAGTTAAATAT